TCGCGCAAGATTTTGACCGAATTCTCGAGGAGCTCGGAAATTTTTTCAGGGATTTTACATGATATGGAATTTAAAGAGCTCCAGAGGATCTTCCCTTGCTTTCCGGTGAAAATAAAGGCCGTGTCACAAAAGAAACATCCTTTTTTCATGAAGCCGTGCTCTGCCATCAAATCCTCTTCGCAACTTAATTGCTCAACGGAACAATGTTTTTCGTTTGCGAATAAGTCCCATGATTCTCGAGTGGGACATGTGGAAGGCATCATCTGTGGTAAGAAACCATGGCGGAATTCTTGCTGAGTTTTCCGGAAAGGTGCATCCGAGCCAACTGTAGTAAGCATCGCTCTTACTTGCGATTCATTACTGATTGTCTGTCTTTCTCTTCGGCATTTTCTTTCTTCTGGTAGTGCTTCGCGAAAAGAAAAGCTACTAAGAAGCACGAAAAGAAAAACAAACAAATGCTAAAACATATCGAGCAAAAGCGAACCTTAGTCCAGTCGGCTCCGTTGCATCTTTCTGTAAAAATGGGCTCAGTTTTTGCCACGGTTTCCTGCCACAGATGATGCCTTCCACGTTTTCCAGTCGGGAATCAACTTGGGATTTATTCGCAAGCAAAAACGTTGTTCCGTTGAGACATTAAGTTCCGAAGAAGATTTGATGGCAGTGCACGGCTTCATAAAAAAGAATGTTTCTTCTGTGACACGGCCTCTGTTTCTACCGAAAACAAGACGAGATCCTCTGGAGCTCTTCTAAACTCCATATCATGTAAAATTCCTGAAAAAATTCTCAAGCTCCTCGTGAATTTGGTCAAAATCTTGTGCGATTGCATAATTAGTAGTTTTTGCGACGACCTGACCTTTTAAAAAGTCAGACAGCATTTTCTATCACACGTCCCCTTGAGAAGTAGGATGTTAGCACAACAAAGTTTGGCGAAACGGAAGTGAAATATAACAGAAAACCATGGGGTGGAGTTATAATTTTGGGACGTTGGCCAAGTGGCCTTTTGAACAAAAATTATTAGAAAAAATTCCTGAGATCTCAAGTTGGAAAACGATGCTTATAATATAAGGAATTTCGTATTTGTATTTGACACACTGCCACATTAGAGACTTTTTCTAAAACATCTACATTTGTGAGATTTTGGGAATTTCTTGGGTGGAGTTATAATTATTGGAGACGCTAGTTGATAATATACATTAATATATATATCATATAATTTGGACATATCTATTATATATAAATTAGCTATTATCTATAATATAATTATATATATATGTTATATATATTATATACTTAATGTGCCACGTATCATGTAACTCATATAATAAGTACATGCTGTGACGTTAGAAACATTACGTTAGTGCAAGTGGTTATTGGAGACGCTAGTTGATAATATACATTAATATATATATCATATAATTTGGACATATCTATTATATATAAATTAGCTATTATCTATAATATAATTATATATATATGTTATATATATTATATACTACATTGTGCACGTATCATGTACACATCATATAATAAGTACATGCTGTGACGTTAGAAACATTACGTTAGTGCAAGTGGACTTTCGTGCATCTAGAGTCAACCGTAACTAGACCATAGGGGTAATTCGATATGCTGATTACGAAAGCGACATTCATGACATTCATTTAGCATTAGCGCCGGTACCATTTTGTCCCAACCCTTGTTTTCACCAAATTCGGCGTAAACTGCAGTGTATAGAGATTATTTGATGCCCTGATTACGAATATGACATGCGTTTTGGTATTAACGTTGTTCAACGCATATCTTTTGGATGGAGAGCGCAGACGAGCAGAAAACAGGCGCCAAATAGCGCCAGCGCCGGGAATGATTGTATTACTCGTATCAGGACACCAAATAACCTGTACGGAAGTTTACACCAAATTTGATGAAAACAAGTGTCGTGACAAGGTGACGCCACTGGCGCCAGATGGCGCCACCGCAGAAAATGGAAGCCATTTTCATAATCAGGGCGTCGAATCACCTCTACAGGTAATTTACGGAAATAACTTTTGGTGCCCCTTTGTGTTATATAAAATTTACAGTAGTTTCTAGGGTGTACAAAATTACACTGCACGAGTAGTGTTTTTACGTAATACTGGCAAGGGCTCACCTACCAAAACTAGGGTAAGATTTTTTAAGGCAAATTTCGGGCTCATACCCACTTGAGCCTTGACGTGACAAGAAGCGTCACATACGCAAAAGCAGAGGTCGCGTTACTTCCTTACATCGAAAAGCGTCACTTAGACGCTAGGGGCTGAGGACTTTGGCAGACTCCACCAGTAATGTCATGTTCCGCCCACCGCTCGATATCACGTCTGCGTCGCAATAGTGATCTGCTACGCTCTCTCTACTCGGGCTTCTCTATCGCTCTCCGTGTTCACGTTATCTCTCATCTCCCTGGAAGCCCCTTGAACTTCTCCGCAGCACAAAACAAAAAGCTCGTATTTCCTGCGTATTCCACTTTTTCCACTCCACGATTTTTTCTCCATTTTCTTCACTGGCGGTCCACTTTCCTCCCCTTCTTGCACATTTGATTGGAACTACCTCATCGAATCAATCCTGAAACTTGCCTTCAAGTTAATGACGCACGTAAGGTAGCAGTCATCTATGACTCTACCTTGTTGAAGTGCAACATCGAAGGATCTCCGTAGCCTACTAGGAACCGGACTCGGAACCGGACTACAGCTCTTCTTCCTTAATTCCTTCGAAGCTTTAACGACCGCCTGTTTCAGGATCCCTTTACTTTGTGAGTAACCGTAATTTGCATGAGCCTTTTTGGCGATGATGCCGTAGATGTTCTCCAACGGATGGACGTCCAGACTGCAGGTTGGCCACTGCTGGACAGTCATGTTTTAAAAATGCAGCCAATCTTGTGCCGAGTAACTCACGCGTACGGCAGATTTTCCTCATAAAAAACGTGATTTAGAGGACGTCACAGACATAAAAAAAGGCGCTACATGTTGCTGTTAGACTTACTGGTAATCCGTGGAGTCCATTTTGCAGGCCACTAAGGGAGGTTTTGATTTGTCATTACAAAAGCCAACCCTGACATTCACACTGTCTCCATCAAAATTAAGAGTGCTAACGGTCCGTCTTCGAACGTTACTACAAACCAGCTTGTTTTTTTTTCTGCCCATATCAACCTTCTTTACTTGGAGAAAACCAATATCAACGAGTAAACCAATATTATTAAGGTGTGTGGTGCCATCGCGGCGAAGGCCTACCTTCCGGAATCTCTACCTAAGTTCAACCTCAACAAGAATTGTAGTCGTGCGTCTATGTCGTGGCCAGTGAGCCTTGAGATGATCTTCAGCCTTTTTGATAATGTCTGTGCTTCTTTTCACCGCTCTGCAGACTTTATTGTTCGACACAGTTACGAGCGAATCTAGATTCAATGGACGGGACTGCTTCGAACTGTCTTCGAAATTCTTCTCGAATCGCTGATGGTGAATACACGTGAGTGTACAAAAGCAGTAGAACACCTGGGGACATCAAGCACGTTAAACTTCCTAAGAATGAGCGAAAGTTTCCCGATATGCTTCGCAACCGCTCATATGCCGAGCGTCGAACTGCATAAACTTAGCTCCTTCTTCAAAAGTCCACCACGAAGCATTTCGAAAGTAAAGTTCAAAGATGTTCCAGTGACAGGGTTTCATTTTGACTTGTTTTTTATTGGATAACTGCTGTTTTACGCCGCAGTTCGCGTTGCGAAAGTTTTGCCCACAATGACAGATTCACTTCTGCAAGCACCCTCAGTTGATCATAATGAGGCAAAAAGCAAAAACTGTTATAAAAAATCTAGTAAAATGATGCTGCTACCCAAATTCGAAGTTGCTTCGGGGTTGTTCGTGCTGGGGAATCGGTTGATGATGCTAGTGAAATTTCTGAATGACTGCTTATTCTGGAAATGCAAGACACGAGGGTGAGCTTGTAATAATGAAACGCACTGTACTCGGGGGACCGTGTGATATGATGTCACATCAAAATCGCGTGGCAGAAAAAAAGCGCCCGACTCGACACCCCAGACAGCGAAAACGAGCGCGGTTGTCAACGTGTTAAAGCAACAAGCAAGGATCAAATTGTTGGAGTAAAAACGGTAGAAATGAAATTGTAGATGCCGACTTGATCAAGAATGATAAAAGAAGCAACTCAAAATGTCGATAAAGCCCTTGAACAAGAACTACCTCTCTTCCCCCTTGAAATGCGGTAGGGGGTTCCGAACGAGTTGTGTGAACATGCTCGCTCCATGGCTCCATAAATCCGCGCGCATTTGAAATAGCCGCAATTTTTGTGAAGCTCTAGCGCCATCGTTGCGCACTTTCAGGCCGCGACAACGGTAGTAGTGTGATATTTTAGATTATTCTAACCTATCCACAGAATAGGTCATTCAAGACGACCTCCCTTGCGGCTGCAAGGATTTCACAAAGATCGGAGGTCGATGAAGGGGAAACCTACCTGGTGGAAAACAGGTGGACTACATGAGGCGTGGACCGACACGCAACTCCCAGCGAAAGATATGTACCCAGCGATCTAGCATGACCGCCCCCGCACCGCTATCGCCGCGGCACGGAGATGGCTAGCTTTCTGCATAACGGCTAGTGTCTTTAGCTGTTTAGCAGAAAGAGCGTTCATTGAGGAAGGCAGCACCGATAAGAGTCGCTTTAATGCGAAAATGAGCGGAAAATGAAGGGGTCCCTCCCTCAGGATATGAACCGTTTCCCGGTTTTTTATTTCATTCCTGCACTATTAATCACCTCTACCTTCAGTTCTAATGGGCTGTCTCTTCAACGTGATCTCTGCCTCTAACCAGATGAAGTAATCTCCCTTTTCTTTGGCAGTTATGGAATGTAAGAGTTCCAGTTACAATACAAAGTGTTGTTTGGTCCAAGGTGCGGACGCCTGCCCATAAGGCATTTTTCGAACACAAAAGTGGAACTTGGGATCCCATGAATTTCATAACGGACCTTGAACTGCCCTGGAGGCGCGTTCATCAACCGAGTCTTCATCACATCCAATGGCTGCGTGAGCATTGTGGCAATACTGGCCTAAATTCAATATCGCCCATCGCATGAAGGAATACAGTACGACTGGGTAAGAGAACTGAAACGAACCGCACAGAAACTGCTCGAGAAGTGAGTATAGAGATTGTCCTTAGCAATTCCGCTCTCAATCAGCATTTGCTTAATCTGATCGTAGAAGGAAAGCTGACCAATAGTCATTAGAACTGCCCTTGAGGTTGCCATGGTCGCACCTAAAAAGCTCACAGGAATAAAAATGCTAAAAACACAACCTAGAAGGATATAACTCAACCATGACGCACTTGTCATATATTACAATAACAATAAAATTTGCCAACGAATAAATTTCAATGAATGTGCTAGTAGAATAGTCTTTTTCCCATTTGGGCAGGCGCTAAAGCTAATTTTGGCTATTTGTTTTGATCCATCAAACACTTTTCCCGTGACAGTGCATTTAGCCTCGCGATTGTGCAATAATCGCGCTAAGCCCTCCTTTAATACTTGCAAGCTCGCATGTTGTCCTTCCACCTTGTTGTCCACAGCTTCAGTGAATGCTTCAGCCTCCGCAAAATTGAAAATTATTCTTCCCTTCTACCCTACCTGCTCGAATGGCTACCTTGAAGTAAGTTTCTGTTAATCCTGTTCTTGAACGAATCTCCTCAGAAATTTTTTGTGTTCTTTTCCAAGTTGAATGGTCGGCTAAAGTGGAATTCGTTCCCGCCGTAAGAATTTGTGACAGATGTGTACAGGGAAATTTGAACGCGTGTCAGTCCTTTCGGTTTTTTTTTACCGAAACAAACGCACTTTTTATTCTTCTCGTTCTTATCGTGAGAGATGGGTCTCAAGCCATTGAATAATGGACGATATAAACATGATTTCCATAGAAAGGTTTTTCCAAAAACAAGTTCGCTAATTCCATAGAAAGAGGAGGTAGGGGTGCCAAGTTGTGCGTTTGTTAAAAAAAACACAAACTGGTCAAAAAACTCGAAAAACGACCTCCGTTGATTCCAGATTTGCACGAAATGATTATGGCTGTTGGCCTTTTGAGGCTATCGCAACAACTTGTCTTTTGTAACCATATTATTAGTAAATATTTCGAGCTGCTATGCAGCTAAACGTGCTATATATAGCTATGTGTGTCTCGAAAAAGCGCGTATTTTTAGATCCCATGCCATAAATTCCTCCGACGATTTTTAATCACGATTACATAGGCTGAGAGAGTTCTGCGTGTAGTAATTCATGAGGGAATTATCATCGTAGTCGCTTCCTCAGTTCGGATGATAAAGGAGGAGGGCCATATCTGTGCACGGTTCACAGTGAACGCTCCCAGTAAACTATTGAAGGCCTGCCGAAGATGCCCTCATGAACTGATCACTGATGACCGGAGCAGGGTCAAGCGTGCGTTGAGGAATCCTCGACACGTCGCGAGGGGGGGGGGGTCTAGTTGCCCCGCTGGGTGGAAGAGATCGAGCCTATTTTGATGCAGTGGGATCGATCGACCGTCGGAAAACAATATCAAGGTATGATCAGATGCCAGGCCAGAGGATTTCCAATGAAAATGATATTCACCCACAAAAATTTTCGTGATTCTGAGCGCTCGGTAATTCTTAGTTACTTCAGTGTTTTATCACCACACAAGTTAAGAATCTGAATTTAGCACTCTTTTCCAAGAGATATTTCATCTTTCAAGTAATACCCGAATCTGAAGGGATGGAGGTACACGGCGCATTCGAGAAAGGGCTTAGTGTTGCGCGCGCTTCAACTACGGCTCCTGTGAAGACAAACTTCAATTCAGGACAATCGAGAGAATTCTGAAAGTGTCCGTGGCCATTTACAGGAGGTGTACACCATTCAACATTGCGAACGACTCTTCAGGTTAAATTTATAAAATGTAACCTTTAAAGTTGAGAAACGCTAATCAATCACTTTTCTTAGAAAGAGAAAAGCAATCATTTCAAATTGCTCTTACTTTAGTACATAATCGCCCTTAAAGGACTATACAGCCGTTGAAATAGTGCCAATGTAGCGAAAAGTACCTTTCAGCGGTACTCGTGCAAAAATCCTCAACGTAGCCGTTTTTTTAATACTGGACGTTTGAGCAGTTTCAGTAAGCGTTTGACAGAGCAAATCTTCCTAGTTAATGATGCGTATTTACTTTTGGGATTGGATGAGTTTGAACGGAGCTATGGCTTTAGGAAGTAGAAAAACTCGCACTCATCACGAATTTTCCTCGTTAATTTTGCAAAAATCCTCAACGCGGCCATTTTTTGTACTGGACGTATGAAGCTGCTTTAGCAACGGTTTGGTAGAGAAAATCTTCTAGTTTTGTCGGCATATTAACTTTCGAATTTGACGAAAATGAAGCAAGTTGTTGGCTTCGGAAGGTAAAAACTCGTGCTCATCTCGAATTTTCCTCGTTAATTAAACCTAAATTGTTTTTCTTATAAACTTTTTGTAATTTCTATACTGCATTAAAACCTCTTCAAAACTTCCAAATTCTACTTTCAGATTGAATTCGTACATATTTGAAGAAAGTTATATCATTTGAAATTTTGTTCAATTTCATAGTGAAATAAGCTGCTCCACGGTCAACGCAAAGTCCAGTCAACACTCAGTTGGCGAAGGCGTTTAAAAAGCTTCTTTCAACTGAAGAGCTACGGCAAATTGAGAACCACAATCTGTGTAGTACTAGAATTTGGTAAGTCTTGTGAAGGAAATAAAAGTTGTCATAGTAAGCCATTTTAGTGGCTAGTTTGTCGTTTTCTGGTCTGTTTCTCGTTTGCTCCTGGTAGAGGACTCATCAATAATGATTATTCCTTGACTTTTCACTGTTGTACTTCTTAAACGAATTTTTTTGTGGCGGTGGGTAGCAGGGCTTTTTTATAAGCAGTTTTGGGGAGAGTCAAACAAGTTTTCACTTTTCATAGTTCGGCCTTCTGAAGGAGGGTTGTTCCATGAGTTCGGCCTCCGGCGGAAGGTGGTGGGGGGGCGTAGTTCCCAATTTTCTCTCAACGCCTCGCTTGACCTGGACCGGAGTGCTGCCTACATCTTCTTTCTCAGTCTCCCCGTACGAACTAGCGTAACAACACCGTTTGCGATAAGAAGGCTCGACTCTATATCAACCACACGCGGAAGGAACAAGTGGATGGATTGAGTAGATGAGGCAGAAAGTTAAGAAATTCTATGCGCGAAGTCGCACATGGACATCCTTCCTAAGCACAGCGCAGTGATCGGCTAGATTCTACTGCGCGCAGACGTGGAACTACAACAACTGACCCAGACACTCAAGCAAAGTCTGTTTACTCCTTGCAATCTAGATCAAGACCACACGAGTCAAAGATGACGGCAAACAGGATCTTTTGGATGATGAGAGGGCAACAGCCACAAATTACTACACATCACAGGCGAAGTTCAATTCTGACATCATTCGACTGTTTAGGCCTCACGGAGCGAACCCGCTGGAAAATTCGCTACTGTTGACGAGTACGCACTTGCCGAAGCAAAGGTCGCAAATGACGCAACCTCGAGTAGACCGTCCTCATAAAAAAATTCGCGCCCGGGTGGAACATTTGTGAGAGTGCACCGCCCGTAGCGCACTTGAAGCAGCTGAGAAGTGAAAAAGCGTCAAAGGGCCTATCGAAGAACCGACTCAAACTCGTTTCAACCTGATTCTCACCAAGCCTGACGGCATCGTAAACACACAGCCAAGAGGATTGGCCGAGCTGATTTCGCAACTTTTACAGCACCTCTTTGTAAGTCAGTCAGGGTAAAGTTAGCATACGAGAAGCGATGTGAACGGATCAAAACGGAAATCTCGCGACTCCACTTGTGTGGCAACGTTAACTGCTCTTGGCGGATGAAAAAAACAAGGCACATCCAGGATGGGAGAGTGAAGAGACTCTACATACTGCTGAGAAGATAGTGGACCTCGCCGCGTGTTGTTCGAGCGCCATAGGACGACGGAGAGGTAGGGTCCGAGCGCTAAAGCGAGGCTCCACTACGCCTGCTTATTCGCAAAGAAAAACTCAGCACGATAACTATCGCGTGATATAAGTACAGGTGTAAGCATATCTCCTGTCATAGGGTGTTGAAGATCGTCTTTCGCCCTGTCTTCAACAGAAAATACGCAGGCTACATCGATGATACATGAGGCGGAGCAAGCTGCCGGTTCCGTTCATGCTTTCCACTGATGCATGACCACTTTCCACGTCGTATCGCAGCAGATCGGAACGATACCGCGAGTACCGCACCCGCTGTGCCTTCTGTTTATCGAGTCACAAAGGCCTTCGAACCAGCATCACCCTGCGTTGCGCAGTTTTTCAACGGCCACGTTGCGCAGTTTCACCGATTAGACACGTTTCTCTCTCCGGAACACTTCACACTCGCATGCTCGAGCCGTCTTGCGTCTCCGACCGTACAGCGTGTCGTTGAGGATCTCTCAACGTGAGCTTGCGAACTGCGCAACGCAGGGTTGTCTCTGCTTCGACACAGTAGAAGATGAGAGTTTGTACAACGCCACGCTTAATTGTAGTATCCCCGAACCTTACATTAGAATCACGCGGCACTGCAACACGGACTGTTACACTCGCATCAAAATCATCAAAGCACCATCCAGCGTACAAATCCGGCGCGGCATCAGACAAAACGGGGTTATATACTCAACTTATTCGTGAATGCGCTCGAGAACATAATGACGCAAATTTCGTTGCCCGGACAAGTGGACACGACGGCTCGCTTGACGCATCTCCTCTTCGCCGATTATTGTGTACTGATGGGCGAGGAACGCGATGATATTGCACAACCCGTGAGCCTCATTAGGCAAAAAGCTGGCGGATTTAAGCTCTAAATCCATCCCTGCAAGAACAATGGATGCATAGCGAACAAGTTCAGAACCAGGCGATCCTCCTAGAAGACCAGGAGATCGAGTGAGTGTCCTACGTGTATCCCGGCAAAGCGGTCAACACAAGCAACGATCTCACGCTTGAAATTATGAACGCCGCGGGCGGGTTGGACCGCTTTTAGTAAGCTTCGAGACAGGGTCAAGCGAGGCGTTGAGGAAATTTTCCGAAAGACGACCCTCCCCCCTCAGCACCGTCATAAACCAGAAATCTATGAAATGACTGTCTTCACCGGCAGAAATACGAAAAGGTTGTTTAATCCTCCCCGATAACTGTTTATCAAAAAAAGAAGCCCTCTAGCCCTACCCTCCACCATGAATGTCGTTC